AAAAAAAAAAAAAAGATGTTCAAAAAAGAGATGATTCAGCTGGGCGTGGTGGCGCACACCTGTAATCCCAGCACTCTGGAGACTGAGGCAGGAGGATCACTGTGAGTTCGAGACCAAACTAGGCTACACAGTGAGTTCCAGGTCAGTCTCAACTATATAGTGAGACCCTGTCTCAAAAAACCAAAAAAAGGGCCGGAGATTTAGCTCAGTGGTTCGGTAGCCTGCCTTGCAAGCGCAAGAACCCGAGTTCAATCCCTGGTACCAAAAAAAAAAAACCCAAAACAAACAAAAAAGATGATCCAGCCAGGCCTGGTGGTGCAAGTCTGTGATCCCATCTACTGAGATACGAGGCAGGAGGATCACAAGTCCAGGGACAGCCTGGGCAACTTAGTGACTCAGTGGGACCCTGTCTTAAAAAATGCAAAGAAGATTGGAGGTGTAGCTCAGTGTGAAGATCCTGGATTTGATCCCCAAGCCCCAGAAGACACATAAGCAAAAAACCAAGATTCACCTTAGCTGCCTCTTTAAGAACAAAGTAAAGTTCACGCTGGTGCTACCGTCCCCTTGCACCCTGCGCTGCCCAAGCCGCCTCTCCGGCAGCACTGACAGCCTGTCATGCCTCAAAGGCCTCTGTCAGCTGGTCAGACTTCTCCACGCAAGACAGACCAGGGGTCACACACTGCAGAGGGCCAGGGCTAGAGAGTTGGATGACAGTGTCCAGAGCCTGTGGAAGCCACGTCCCCTGTCTGAATGTGGGGTGGGGAGATGGAAGGCCACCGCTGTGTGACCAAGACTCCTGGGCACTGGCCACACTGCAGTCCAGTGCAGTGGAAATGAACTCTAGGCTCAGGGCATCCGTGTTGTGTGTGTGTGTGGGGGGGGGAAGATGGGGAATTTAAAAATAAGTCCACTGATAAATACATAATTGTGTGGTGTGGATAGTGCTACGAAGGAAAGGGGGACAGGGAGAGAAAAGAGGGGTGCAGATGTCTCGGAGACTGTGGGCAGAGGTGCCAGGATAGGTGTCTGCAGAACATAGGGAGTAAGGAGCAGTGGGCATGGAAATGAACTAGGCTCAGGGCATCCGTGTTGTGTGTGTGTGTGGGGGGGGAAGATGGGGAATTTAAAAATAAGTCCACTGATAAATACATAATTGTGTGGTGTGGATAGTGCTACGAAGGAAAGGGGGACAGGGAGAGAAAAGAGGGGTGCAGATGTCTCGGAGACTGTGGGCAGAGGTGCCAGGATAGGTGTCTGCAGAACATAGGGAGTAAGGAGCAGTGGGCGCTGGGCAGAGGGGGTAAAGGCCTGAGGCAAAGAAATGCTGAGGTCCACGCCAGGCAGGAGGGCTGGGAGGCTGCAGGGGTGGCAGGGCCGGGTCCCGTGAGAACACCACAACTGAGGACCTTCTGTTAGCGTTTTTTAGTGTCCCTCCAGAGGTGGAGGCGGCCTGGAGGAAAGGGAGAGCAAAAAGGACAGCTGGAGGGAGGTGGCAGGGCCCGAAGAGGGAGGGAAACGTGGTCGAGGGCACATAGGAGGGAGGCTGAAAGGACTGGAGGTGTGGGAGTGGCTTTGGTCAGGGGTTGGGGGTGCTGGTGGTGTGTTTTCAGAAATGGAAACATGAATAAAGGTGTAGGGAAGGCAGGGAGAAGAGGTCCTCTTTCCCAGGAGGCCTCAGAGGACAGGAGCCGGTCACCCTCAGACGGGGTTCCCTGAGAGCAAAACCAGGGCTCATCCCTGTTCACTGCTCCTGGGCTCTGCTGCTCCTGGACTTGCCTGGATGCCAGGGAGGTGATGGTCATGGAATGGGAGACTGGGTCGGCCAGGGGCCACCGAATGCTCTGGCCCCACTGAAACGCCCCTGGTGCTCCTCTTCCATTACTGGGATCTTCTGGAATCATTGGTTTGTTTTGGGAGAAAATGCTAGAAGCTCCTACCCTCCCCACCTCACAAATTCTTGTGAGGTCCTTCTCTCTGAAAGAACAGATGCTTCTCTGAAACCCAAACTTCCCAGAGCCCAACCCCAGTAGAGCCCGGAAGGACAAGAGCAGGGCGCTCGAGAGGGTGGTAGGGCAGAGCCCAGGGAGGCCACTGCGGAGAGGCTGGCTTTCCCGGGGCTGGGAGCTGACAGGGCAGGCGGGGACGCCACAGACACTGGGGGAGACTGCCCAGCATCTTAGGGAAACTGGGCACAGACAACCCCTCTTCTGTCTTGACCCCAAGAGACAGTAGGACAGAGCTGAAAGAAAGGCCTATCGACATCAAAACCCAGGAATTCCAGGCACAGTGGTGCCAGAGAAGACCAAACCCTAGTGGAGCTGGAGCCCAGCGGGCCTGCGAAGCCCCAGCCCCAGCCCCTGACTCTGGGGGTCATGGAGGACAAGGCAGGAGGGGGCTGGCTGGGAGAGAGGGAAGGATAGGGCCAGGACAGGGGGACACAGGAGAGAGCCTGCGGCTCCAGGCCTGGGGCTGAGATGCTCTGGAGGGCGGAAAGCAGGAGGAGAGGGGGTGGGAGGAGCCTGCGGGGGCCCCTGACGTCCTGACAAAGCCGCCCAGCTAGGGCTCGGCAGGGTGAGATGGATGAGGCCCAGGCCTTTTGTGGCAGGGGAGGAAAGGGAGCGCAGACTCCTCAGAGTCCCTGTCCCTGAAGCCCTCCCACTCCCCACGGTGACCCCAGGAGCCTGTGGAGTGGGGGGCTGGCGGAGGGGCCCAGTCCAACCAGGCATTTCTCCTGGCCGGGCGAGCGTCCCACCTGAGTCAGAGGGCCGGGGACAGGAGGGGCAGTGAGGCAGGCGGGTCCTCCACGGAGGACCAGACACACAGGTGCCTCCTGCTGGCCACGGATGGAGCGAGGGCCCAGGGTCCTGGGCAGAGGCCCAGAAAGTTCCAGCGACCCACAGGGTCCCGGCCGGGGCTTTCCACCTGTCTGCTAGGACTGGCGCTGCCCTCCTGACCTTTGGCTTCCTCCTGCCCTGTCCCCCTTGGCTCTGCCAGTCGAGAAACCTGTTCTGTTCCTGCCCTGGATAAGGATCTCTGGGCCAGGCCCTTCCCAGGCCGCAGCAGAAACCTGGCAGCAACAGCACCCCGCCCCAGCAGGCTGTGAGGTGTCCGGGCCAGGCCTCAGGGCCCTCTCCCTCCTCAGCCTCTCCCCACAGCTGCAGCAGCTAGGTCTCCCTGCCTTGGTATCCCCATCCTGGACCTTTCTCCTTGGTGTCCAGGGCCAGACGCCCCTCCAGCACCCCATCTCCCATGGCGCCCGCCCTTCCGCAGCCCCTGCCCATCGAGGGGCCTGGGGAGATGGGGTCGGCCCCACTTAACCCCAGCCCGCTGTGCTGCTCAGCCAGCTGTCATCTCTGTGACCTCCTGCCCTGTCTCGTCCTTGGCGGGCAGCCCCCTTCTCCAAGGCGAGGGCTTTGAAAGTCTTCTCCATTCTTGTTTCTTGTGCAGGGCCCTGAAATCCCAGGCTACTCCTTGCTCCTGTCCCAGCCCACCCATGGTCAGCTCCCCCAGCACCCAGCCCCTGGAGGGGCAGTGGGGAGACCCCAGCAGGGAGGCGGAGGTGCTGGAAGCCATGTGGGCCGGGCCTAGGCACACTGAG